GAGGTGAAGATTCCTAAAGACTGAAAAAGTTATGGATTTTGCTTTTACCCCACCCTGAAAAAAATCAAAAAACAAAAATAGGTAGGGGAAGGAAGGAAAGGAGGGAACTGAGAAGACAGCAGCAACCAGCACCCCATTTATGCAAATGGTCACAATGGTCCATGCTCACATCAACAGTAACCTCAACAAAAACCATAAAAGTGTTATTTTCTTAGACAATTTTCTACAAAAGACCACAACTTTACAGTCAACTCCATTGACTCAAAGATACAGAGAATGCAATACTCCACTATTTATTATTCACTGATTTTTCTTCTTTGGAGAGTGGGTCTCCTCAACCAGTCCAAGATGGAGAACATACAGCAGCCACTAAACAAGCCTGATCCAAAACTGACTGTTAGGAAGCTTCACTCTGCTCCGTCTATGACCTGGGCCAGTTTGCTCCTCTTTAGGCAGCCTGATGGTCTTCCATTCCCAAAGGCTTACCAACCTGGTGCTGGATTTAGCACACACAATTAGCTTCAGCCATACAGCAGCTCAGAACTCCCGAACTCAAGGGGATCCATCAGCCTACCCCAGTAGCAAGGATTATAGATGTGCACCAACATGCCTGGCTATTATTCAGTGATTTAAAAGAAGAATTTGACTTAATTAAAAAAAACAAACACAGACTTGAACAGTCTCCTCAGATGCATATCGGGGAGGCACATATCAAAATCACATAAGACTCCAAGGTAGATGTAACTACAGGGATAATGTTCAATGATTACTAACAGCAAACAAGACATCATGAAAAATGTACTGTTACATAAAGTCTGAACAAAGGATTCTTTATCAATTACAAGCCTAGCCAAATGCTTCTAATCAGATGACTCTGTACTTTTTGCATCATCCCCAGGAACACCACACAAAACTTCAAAAACCCACAGCAACATGAGACTGGTCTAACCATCCACAACCAGAAAAAATAGTGGATTAAAATATTGTCTAGACAATGCCAGATGGCCGATCAAATAAGTTTGCCAGCGTTTGTACGATAGGTGTACCAGAGGGAGAGTGAGCTTGGGCATGGATTGAGTAGGGATGACACTGGGATGGATTACACTCAGAAAACAAGATCATGTATGTGCTCAGTGGTTCTAAATTGCTTAATGATGCAAAAGTCTGTTTTAACACCAATCAGTGATAGATACCAAATGGTTCTGAATCATAAAACAATGATTATGAGTAAGAAGGGAAGTTATCAAAGGAGAAATCCATTGTATTAAATATTTCATAAAAATGAGATGTCTTTAAGATGTTTTGCAAACCTTAAAGCACTACATAAATGCAAGTTACTATTATCATCATCATAATCACAAATTAACTAAAGATAAAGAACTGTTCCCCAATAGTTAAGTGGTCAAAGGATATCAAGTTTTCAAAAGAATTACAAACCGTGGACAAGCATACAAAAAACATGTTGCAAATCACTATTAAAAACAGAAATGCAAATTAAAACAATTCTGCAGTTTCATCTCATACTCAGCAAATCATTGTAACAAAAGATGAAAATAGTCAACGTTGGAGGATCTTTGGGGAAGACAGGTACATGAATACACTGTTGTTGAACCTGTAAACTAGTCCAACCGTTCCAGAATTACGGAGGGGAAAAAGTCTCCTAGGTGCTCATAATCTCTGACTCAGAGATGCCAATGCTTAAAGTATAGTCCCAGGGAGGAAAAAAAAGATAAACACTTCTCACATATACAAAAACAATCATAGCAACACTTTTTGTGGTTACAAAAACTGGAAATATAGCGGGTGCCCATTAACTTAGGAAAGAGTTGAACACATTGTGGTCTATGAACATAAAATATTATTGTAGGATAAAAAACAATAAACATGAGAAATTTAGAGAAAAAACACTAGACTAATATGAAGTAAGCAGAACCAGGAAAATAAAAAATTGCTGTTCTTCAGTCGTGTCCTATTCTTCATGATTCCATTTGGGGTTTTCCTGGCAGAGACACTGGAGTGGTTTGCCATTTCCTTCTCCACATCATTTTACAGATGAGGAAACTGAGGCAAACAGGGTTAAGTGACTTGCCCAGGATCACACAGCTAGTAAGTGTCTGGGGCCAAATTTGAACTCAGGAAGATAAATCTTCCTAACTCCAGGCCTGGCACCCTATCCACTATGTCACCTAGCTGCCCAAAAAACAATATATACAAATGATAAACAATGTAAATTGAAACCACACTAAAACAAAGCCAAACACTGAAAATCTAATGAGCAACACTGGCCTCTCCCCTTCCCGAGGGGAAAATAAATATATTTCTCTTCTTTCTCTGAGAAGATAAGGAACTGTGGGTTTGGAATGACGTAGAATACTGTCATAAATAGCTGTTGACAGTGGGTTTTGTTTACCTATTTTTCTTTGTTGCAAGGAAGGGTTCACTGTGTATATATGTTGGAAGGGAAGAGGAAATATAAACTGAAATGGTAGTGATGTAAAAAATAAGAATCAATAAAAGCCATTATTCAAAACAATTCAGCTGTAGTCCTTAATCTCAAGTCAAGGGATCTGGTTTATCTCTTTACTATTGCAAATGGATTCTTCCCTCAGTTGCTATCCCCTTTCTCCAAATGGCCCACCAAGTCCCTTCTCCTCCTGATAATGTTTTCACAATGCCCAGATTAAATCCCCATTTACTCTTGAAATTAGCCCCCAATCTTCCCTTCTCTCAGTTCTGACCCAGGTAATTTAGGAGTAAAAATGACCTAAATCTAGGAGTAAAAAGGACCTCTGGCAGGCTTAATGTAAACCAATAATCTACAGCCCTTTCCTCTTTCTCACAAGACCTGCCCCTGAAAGTGGGGGGTAGAATTTCGGGATCCAAGTTCAAATAGATAAATTCTGAGCCCAGGTTCCTGAGGTTTTTTGGTTTGGGCTTTTTTTTTTTTTGGCTAGGCAATGGGGTTAAGTGACTTGCCCAGGGTCACACAGCTAGTTTTATGTGTCTGAGGCCGGATTTGAACTCGGGTACTCCTGACTTCAGGGCCAGTGCTCTGTCCACTGGGCCACCTAGCTGCCCCGGTTCCTGAGTTTTAATAAAGCAATGAGGGCTCCAAATTCCAACAGACTAACCAAGGCTCTGAGTCCTAACAGACCAGTTGAAGAACAGAAAAATAACTCATAAAAACTACCTGCTCTCAGAGAAGGGAGTAGAAGTATCCAATGAGAGGTAGCATGTTACAATGAAGGAGTTCTTAACCTTTTTATATCATGCCCTCCCACCCCTGGTAGTCTAGTAAAACCCATGGACCTCTTCTCGGAAGAATGTTTTTAAGTAATTAAAAGAAATGCTAAATTTCATATAGAAATTTGTGAAAATAAAGATGTAATTTTCCCCCCATCTAAGTTCACAGACAACCTAAAATTTATCCATGGATGGATCCATGGATACCAGCTTAAGAATCAGTAGCAGACAGAGCTGGTCTCAAAACTTAGAGCCATAAGCAATTCCATAAGACTTTAAGCTATGGAACAGTTGCTAATTTGCATTAGTAAAGGAAGTCTCCTCATCTGGGACTTTAATATAATAAGATCACAGGTTAAGGCTACCAAAAAAAAAAAGAATGAAGTGTCCCACCACACAAGGAGGTGATAATTACATTATACTATGATAGGAATGTCAGACTATATTGGGAGTATTATATCTAGTTCTGGGTACATTTTTTGAAGGAATGGTGAAAAGTTAATATTCAACCAGGAGTATAGATTCATAGGAGGAATACTCTAAATCATTACTGATTTCATTAAAGGAGATAAGAAATAGTTTAGCCTAGAAAAGATAACATTTAATAGGGGATATGATAATCTTCGAACACGTGAAGCATTGTCATGTGGAGGCAAGATCATAATTGTTTTGCTTGGCACCCTAAAGACCAAATGATAAAAATTACAGAGGGATAATTTCAGTACAAACGAAATCTCCTAAAGAGAATATCCAAAAGTGAAATGGGCCAACCTAAAAACCAACAGGTTTTCCATCAGGGAAAATCTTCACTTTGGCTGAATGATCAATGGATTAGGCATATTAGAAACAGAATTCATGATCTGGGAAGAAGTTAGACTAGAGGATCTCTAAGTTACCTTTCAACTTTCACTCTATGGTCCTTTGAGAAGTAGTATAAAATATATTGTCAAGGATACTTATAACCGCTCACACAGTGAGTTAGCTAGGAAAACAGTTGAAATAATATAGCTAACTTCAAAGATAAAAGACACTGGCCTCCAGATAGATGGATAAATTGGATAAAGTGGAAACCAAAGCCATGATTTACATCTTTGCCATCATCTCCCACAGTGCTGAAGACACAGTAGGTACTTAATAAAATGTCTGTTGGATTTAAATAGAAACCAAGAAGACTGACACTGTTCTGTCATACATAATAATGTCAAATCTGTATTTCCCTCCATCCAGTTAAATTGCTTTTTTTTTTCACTTCCAAACCTACTACACTGACAATGACTTACTTGCTGGTGGTCGAAACATAAAGGTATTGCCTTAAATTATGACTAAGCTTTCCAAGAAAATATGCACATTCTAGTAGTTGAAAACACTAGGAAACATACCAGCTAAGGTGCTCAGATCCCTATGAAGAGCTACATATATCTAGGTTAATGAAATTTGGAGGGTCCTGACCTTGTTTTTGCAACTCTTCCAATTATTAGAACGGAATTGCTACAAGTTCCTAAAACCCATGTAAGCTTGATTTTCTAAAATATCTTTCATCACATTTAGTATTCATTTTATCATCAAATCTCCAACTCTCCACCCTCAAGACTACTTCTAATAAGCTGATGTTATTATACAGCTGCTTCCCTTAAAGGGAAAATCTTATTACAAGTTTAGAAGCTCATACTCAACCTTCATAAGAGTTTCTTTCAAACCCCCTTTACCTACATTTCTGCTGACAAGATAACTAATCTATTTTAACAAACAATGATTACCGGACTTGAAGGGATTTCTGTTGAGTCACCGCTACTGCTTCGTTCACAGCATATCTCACTTATGACACATAAAGCACAGCTTTCATCAAATGTAAGGGAAATACTATCTGACTTATGACGTTTTCTGTGTCTTTCACCAGGCAGTTCATCCGAATTTTCTTCTTTGTATGGAAAAAGAAAAGAAAAAACTGTTAATTTATACAATTGTAATAATCTAGAAATGCTGTGTGCATTTATATTGAAACTTTTTTCACCACAAAGTTAAAATTACAGGTGTATGGACTAAAATGTAACAGTGACATACAAACACTTTTGAAAAGAAACATCTACCTAAACATCTCTAAATGAGTCTTTTAAAAAGTCATAATAGGGGCAGCTAGGTGGCACAGTGGATACAGCACTGGCCCTGAAGTCAGGAGGACCTAAGTTCAAATCCGGCCTCAGACCAAACACTTGATACTTACTAGCTGTGTGACCCAGGGTAAGTCACTTAACCTCAATCGCCTAAACAAATAAATAAATGAATGAATGAATGAATAAATGAAAAGCCATAATAATTTATAAAATTCACAAAGAGGTTTTCTTCTTTACAGTCCTCTGTATGTTGATAAATAAGGTATTCTAGAATATGAACTTTTATCATTGGTATCTCAAGAAAGAAAAAAAAAACCTTACTGCCAAAGTGGCTTTAATCATTCAATTTCAGAATCCTATTTCTTCAGCAGGATATATCAATCTAAGTGAAAGCTACTTTTAAACAAAAGATTAACTCTATGACTTAAAAAAAGCCAAGACAGTTGCCAGTGACTGCTATGACTTGTCTGCACAAAACAAACCACTGAGATGTAAAAATAAAATGTTAAAACTCCTACATTTATTTTTAATCTTAAAAAAGCAATATCAAGCTTTGGTAACATTTAATAAACAGCTTAGTACCAATACCCTCACTCAGATGGGTCACATAAGATGACTAACGTGAGATATTCTAAGGGAATAGTAGGAGAAATATCACACAAAAGCATTGAGAATGGTGCCTGAATTCATTTATTTGCTTTCAGCATATTACAACATGTTACAGTTTGGTTTCCTGGTTAAGTGGATTTACTGTATTATCTAGGTTTATCTACCCTAACGCTCGCAAAATAGATAAGTGGCTTAAAAAGACTCTTGGAAAGAAGTTATGGATTGAAGATAACATTAATAATGTATGAGCACAAACGAACAAGAATATGGTAGGGCTGCCATTTCTCTTACTCCTAATAGCTCTTCATCAACAATATTATGAGATAAAAATAGCAATACAATGAAATGTAATTAAATCAGACAGAAAGTCAATCAAAATCCTTTGAAATAATGGATTTCCATCCATTATCATTAATGATGTTAATGATAAACCTTGAATTATCAGGATTTTCAAAGATAATAAAGCATATATTCAATTGCTCTCACTAAAAATATTACAAATTTACATACCCTTAATAAAAAGTTTAACTACTGTCCTTTACCTGTCATACTTCAACTTCTATTTTTGTGTTTTTATAGTGTATATAACATATTAGTGCAAAAGCTCCATGTAATTTTTATGCCGATGTACTATATTGAGGGTGTGTGCTCAAATTTTTTTTACTAACAGAAGTACAAAAATCAATGAAACATAAATACACAAATATAAGCATATTTGTGATTTGACACATTTCTAAGTAATTTTCTCCTTTTACATTTCTATCCAAAGATATCTTATTTTTCATTTTCTCAAATGAAAAGTTACCTGTCAAGTGGTAAAAACTACCTTAAGATGTACTGCAGTAAAATTAAAACATATTAATGGGAAAAAAACTGGAAAGAATTTAAAGAAAATAACTGGCCAGCGTTAAATAAATGAGCACGTATCATATAAACAGAGAACGAAAAGAAAGAACTCAGAGACCTACTCACTTAACAAACAAAAAAATTCTTCCAGCAATTATCAATAAATCAATCACCATCGATATAAAAGTTAATTTCAAGGGAGGAATAAAGCAAAATTTTAAAAGTTAAATATTTAAAAGTTAAATATTACTATATACCTGTTTCACTATGCGTTCTCCTTCTAGATGAGGTAGTTGGTCTAGAATTCAGATTTGGTGATGGTTTCTCTTCCTGCAATTCTTGCATAGATTCCTAAGCATTCAACACAAAGATACAAGATAAATACTAAGCTTAAGAATACCAGTCACACAGAAGTCAAACAATTTATGATGTAAAAGAATTACTGCAGTAGAATATGAAAGTTTAAAGATCACCTTTTGAACACTTCCGATTTCAAGCTGACACCTGGTTTCATTCGTAGATGTATTTGGACTAGCAAATTCTAAAGAAAAAAATATAAATTAGTTGTTTAAAAAATATTATTATTTAATTGGGAATTGCAAGACATGAATCTCTTAGGCAGCTGAAATCCTTGCCAAATATGCTCCTAATAGCTGGCATAGATACATTTCTTTAAAATAGCATTTTTTCCCCTAAAAATTTGGAAATTAAGAATTCAGTTAAGATTTTGGGTTAAGTTTTGGAGGCTGTATGACCATGGGAAAGTTATTTAACCTCTCTAAACCTGTTTCTTCTTCTCTTAAATGGGGATAATAGTATATACAGTACCTACCTCACAATGTTGAAAGGTTAAATGAGATAATACATGACACATTTTAAGTGTCAGTCATTACTATTAATTAACACAAACATGGAGTGAAACAGCCTTCTACATGAGCATGATTTTACATATTTTTGTTTTAGAAAACAAAAAGAATATTTAAGAACACAGAAAATAACATCTGAAGACACAATTTCTATAGCTCCCTATAAAGGCTTTAAAAATTATTAGCGATATACCTCAAAACAAGAGAAACACCATTCCAAATACTAAGCTATTTAATGTATTAAATATATTTTGGTTTGATAGATGGAAATGGCTCTAAAAATTATATTACACAGCATAATAATTATTTTTAATTCTGGTATTAGGAGATAGTACCACAAATATCTATTCTAACTTTCTTTCAGATAATTGAAGGGTGAGGATAGATGGATGGCTACTTTACCCACATATAGGCAATACTGGACCCTTCAGCCATGACAGTAATCAGAGGATCTGGGGAGAGACCTCGGGCTGCAAAAAAGGGAAGTTTGGGAAGATGGAAAGTAGGAGAAACTCTGGGGAAAGGGGACAGTGGCTGCTGGAGGTCCAGGTTGCTCCATAGAAAGAACTTGGAGATAACATTCAGGGTCTGACTTAAAACAAACAAAAAAGAAGATATGATAACTGTGGAAATTTAGGAAATCATTAACTAAGATTCACATAATTCAAAATAAATTTAGCAGCTTAATACTCAAATTTTAATTTTAAAGTAAAGTTTCTGACATTTTATAAATAAGATTAGGCCCAAGCATACGTAACCAACAAGTCTGTTTTGAGTGACAATTTTACTGAAGTTTTTCAAAGTTATTTAAGTAAAAAGACTGTATTATAAGGCAGGAATAAGGTTAACAGATAAAGTACTGTAGTACAGTGAGAAGAGTGCCAGGTTTAAAGTCAGAGGACTTCAGTACAAATACTGCTTGTGCCATTGTGACCCTAAGTAAGCCATTGCACCTCCTTGGGCCTGAGTTTCCTCACTTGCAAAATGAGAGGGACTCAACAGTCTCTGTGGTCCCTTCCAGCTCTAAGTCTACAATCTTATGACCACAGCTTCAGTGAGCTATCTGTAACAGCTTGTCTAGAAAATCAAAGGTAAAGTAGTCTTCTTACTTCCTCCATTTCTAAGCCCTGTGGAATTTCAGAAATGTTCTAGGCTGAGAGCAAAAAACTAGCCTGCTTTTAAGGACTCAAAACTGAAAGGAAATCCACATTTTACACCCAAGGGGCTCACATCAATTTCATTAGCCAAAAAAAATCCTTGCCCTCCAAATTAAGATTGATTTCAAAGTAATTTCCTCTCCCTATACAAGACTTAAGGACTTAATGTCTAAATTCTCTTTGCTTCAGGGAATCGGAGATCCCCTCATCTAGAGAAGTCACATGCCCACAGTTTCATTTAACTTCTATAACTATTCCACCCAATTTGCCAGCAGTGGAGGATAGTACTAACAACCTACATTTTCTTCGAAAATGAAAAATAAAATTGATAGCTATAAAGCCATCAACAGTTATATGGAGAGTTCACCATAGCTTCTTCTACATTAGAGCTGCAAAGAGTCTGGGCACAAGGACAATATATAGGCAAATATATATGTGAAAATCATCTCTCTTAATCCAGCCTCAGACACTTGATATTTACTAGCTGTGTGACCCTGGGCAAAGTCACTTTACCTCATTGCCTAGCAAAAAAAAAAAAAAGGAAAAAAGAAAGAAAATGATCTCTCTTCCCAAACTCCAGAAAAGTCTAGTTCCAGACCAGCCTTAATGAAACGGGCAGACCCAGTCAAAAGTAATCCCTGGGTAACCTATAAGTCCCAAAGGTATACACAGCATGGCACAACAGAGAACTGGAACTGGAGTCAGGAAGACATAAGTTCAAATCCTGTTTTTGCCACTAAGTAGAGTGCGGTCCTGGGCAAGTCATTAACCTGTCAGACTTAATGGTCAAAGACCATACCCAGAGTTGTTTTGAGGTTTAAATGACATACAGTATTTAAGGTTCTTTTTAATCACTGAAGCATTATATAAAGATGTCAATTATTATCATCTTTGTATGCTCAGAGCCTCCCCCAATGCCCTTCTTTTTACACAGTGTGCTTAATATTTGGTGATTTTAACTGAACACAGAGCATGTCTTATCTTGCAGCTGTGTCTTGAGATGACCTGGGAAGGGGCTTTGGTTTCTTCTGGATAGGGAGTTCAAGGTAGAGGCTGGGAAGCAGCTATGGGGCAGACATTCAAGCTTAGTGATTCCTAATTCCTAGTCAGTCCTAAAACCAACCTGGTCTCCAGGAGTATGCTTAGGATAACTGAGACTGCTTAGACAAGGGAAAACCTTGAATTATCAAGGCTATGCTGAAACAGAACCACGTACTCAGACAAAGAAGCAAGCTATCATTTACCCAGACACGATCATCTACGTGGTACTCTGCTGGTGTACCAAAAAGATACATCCTTATCCAATGGTCTCACCCAGGACCACTGATAAAAAGTAATGTACTACTAACCAGGACATGAGATCCACTTTTCAGTGTTTAAGTTCTGGCTATGTTGATTACCTCTGTAAACTGAGGACTTCTAAATCATCCAGCTTTCAAAATAAATCAATAATCTCCAACTTAATGAATGTCTGAGCTAATTTTAAATTTATACTAAGGAATATTAAAGTTCATTTATTATGAAACTAAATTAGAAGCTATATAGTACTACATAAAAAATTACGGTTTCTCTGTACTGTTCCATTAAATTATTAAAACTACTACTCCACATAATTAATGCAGCATTTAATGAAAAATAGTTATAAAATGCTGGAGTGTAAACAATTTAAAAAAATACTTTGGAATTCTTTCAAAATCAACTTACCTTGTTGATTGACTGCTATCAAGTTTCTAGAAATCATTGCATATAATCTCCTTGGAGGGGGATGAGGTGGGGGAATAAAAAAAATACATCTGTAACGGAAAATCTGCACAGTAGTTGAATTCAAATTGATAAAACCAAAAATTTAAGGGGTTATGCTATTAAACAGTCTCAAACTGAATCAAAATATGAGGGCCAATTTAGCACAGAACTGACAAGGTTCAAAGCTATATAAAGAACTGACCTCTCTTAATTAGTCCTAAAGTAAGCCAATAAAGGAGACAATTTTATGAGTCCTGAGGATTTAGAGAACTATACCCTTCTTAACATTGTTTCTTCTAGATTTGTCAAAACAAGGAAAAAATGCAACCTTTCTGACAGAGAAGAAGAATCCAATCTACAAAGGAATTTTATTTGTTTCTACTTTATCGTTAACCTTAGGCTAGTCACTTGATGTTCTTTTTCTATGAGTTTAACATCTACAAAAGAACCAATGATCACTTAAGCAACTAGGCACATGGTGATTACCATGTATGTCATTATTACATATTATTTCTAGTTCCCAAAAGAGAAGGAAAATTAGCATTACCAGCTATTTGCCTGCTAAAGTGTTTCTATTTGCTTCCATTTTCCTAGTCAGTAATTTTCTTGAATGTTCAATCTCCTTCTATATATGAAACTTCTGGTCAGAAATCACTTAAAAATTAAACTGTACACAACAGGAGCTATACTATCAAACATTACCTAACAACTTAACATGTCAGAAATCACGAACAAGATAATGAATTCCAACTCTACAAGAAAACACTGTCTCTATGTTCCATTTAGACATCAGAACAAGAGTTTCACAGTAGCATGTCAGAAAGGGAAATAGGCATTTTTGAAAGTAGCTAAGACATAAGCATTTACAGCATTAGTAAGCAGTGACTTGTGATGGTACAGAAGGAATAATGCATTTGAAAAAACAAAAATACAGAGCTGAAGAATTAAATTTCAGAATTTTTCATAAGACAACACAAGTTTCTAATTAAAACTATCTCATGACATTTAGCAAGATACATAATTCTAGAAAACCTTTCACTAAAAAAAGATTACCTTACAGGTTAAAAAAACAAAAACAAACCTAAAGTCATAACCAGATTTTTAAATGAAGTCAACAGAAACAGCTTACCTGTGCTCTTTCACAGAGAAGCTTGGTACCCCAAACAGATCTCCAAGAAGGTCATCTGAACAATAGACAATGTGCTGTTGCTTTTTATCATATAATTGTTTTGACATAATATATTGGCCAAGATAGAATAAAACCTGAAATAGAAATGAAATTTAGAATAATGAGAAACCAATGCTACAGTCTGAAATATATACAGCAAGCAGTCTATACAGTATGAGTATCAATCAGTGTACCATATCCAGCAGGAAGTTCTCAGGAATAGGTTTGTTGTCACCTAACACAGAATTGGAGAAGTGGAAGCAAACAGAGCAGCTCTCTAGTCAAGTCAGAGACAACAGGAATCCCAACTGTAACATACCCAACAAGCAGTCATTCAGCCTCTGCCTGAAGACCTCCAAGGAGAGGGAGTCTGCCACCTCTCAAGGCCACCCATTCCATCTGGGAAAGTGGTCAGAAACTTCTTCTTAAAGCTTAAGTTTGCCTCTCTGTAACATTCCCCCCCCCACCCCCATTCTGCTCCATGTGGTCCATGAAACAAGTCCAGTGTTTCCTCCACATGACAGTGCTTCAACTTCACTGTCACGTCAAGTAAGGTCTGAGGAGGTGAGAGCAGTGAGACTTTTACCTTCCTATAAAAACTTGCCTTTTCACAGAATTGTTCCAAAATGATGTATAGTTAAAGCTGATATATCTTCTGTATTCGTCTCAGTGATACCTCCATCAAAAGGGACTAAATTGCAAGAGGTTTCTAACTATGATGATTTAGCATCTTTCTCCTGGGGTAGTCAGTTTCTATTCTTTGCAGTCACAAAGCTCAAGAGCCTGTGAACACATCACCACAAGGGAAACCCGCTGCTCACTAACAACGGAGAACAACTCCAGGGAATCTCAGCAAGAGGGCAAGTTAAACTCTACCCACACTCAAGAGTGCCTTCGAGTAGCGTACAAAAACTGATACTCTTATAATGAGCCATCAAAAATTAATGTTCTGAGAATTAAATTGTTTTGTTTTGACAAAGATGATTAAACTAAAAACTTGACCACGTACTTCTGCTGTTTCTGTCTTCTTACTCCAGTTACCACAGGACAAACATGTCTAAAGAATTCACTGCTTTGCTGGACTCCCACAATTACTTAAATTCCTAAGTATAAAAAGCATTGCCTCATCCCTCTCCACCTCCAAGGCTACAGCCTTGAATAAACACCCTATGAAGTAGAATCTCACTAGGCCAGCCACATGTCACTGCTACATATATTCCAGCAGGTTAACACCCCACCCCCTTCCCTCCATGTTTTTTCCTTACAACTGCTGATGCCCCCTCCTCTTATGTAATCTCCCCTCTGTCCTTCTGTTTGATGGTTCTCCTGCCAGTCTAAATGATCTTTCTCAGTTTCCTTTGCAGGATCATTATCCACTAATAAGATGAAGTCCCCAAAGTTCTGTCCTGAGTGATCTTCTCTTCTCCCTTCACCCTTTCTCAGCCATCTCATAATCTCCCATAGGTTCTGTTATTATCTCTTGTGCAGATGATTACAAAATCAACATCATCAGAAATAATCTCTTGGGCTCCAGTATAACATTTCCAACTGAATGATGTCCAAATATCCAAAAGAGAACTCATCTTTTCTCTTGAATTTGTCCTTCATCCAAATCTCTCTTTCTGTTGAGAGCACCATCCTCCTTTTCAGTCACCCAGGTTCACCACCTCAGGCACCCTTCATTCTCATCACTCTCCACATCCAATCACTAGTCAAGTTTTGTCAGCTCTACCTCCATAAAATCTCTTACATCCATCCCCTTCTTTCAGACTCACATAGTCAGCACCTTATTTCAGACCCTTATCACCTGTTGCCTGGACTATTCCAATAACTTCTTAAGTGGTTTCCCTCATCCTCCAGACAACTGCCAAAATAATCTTCCTAAAGCAAAAGTCCAGCCATATCACTCCTGTGCTAAATGCTCTAGGATAAAACATGAACTCCTCAGGTCTTGGAATCTAAAACTCTTTCCAGTTCCTGTTTCCCCTTCCTTCCAAACCTCTCACACATCCCTTCCTTTCACGAACTCTCTCTTCCAGCCAAACTGGCCTAATTCTGATTCTCTAAACTTAGTTAAAGCCCAGAAGCCTTAAATTCCTTCCAGGTACCATCTAAATGCCACCTCCTTCTAAGAGCCTTTCCAGTTTTCCTAATCTCTTTTGCAATTACCTAATTAAACGCTATATTTCCAATCTCTCAATAGGAAGCACATTCCTCAGCATCAAGGACTGCTTTCATTGTCTTCAAAACCTCAAACCTTTGCATGTTTAATAAATGTATGACGAATTGAAAGCAAAATTTTTTTGGAGGCAGAATGAAATGTAAAATAAAGTGAAACTAAATTATTGGTCCTGAACAACACTATTTAACTTGAAGCTTAAAAAGAAGTATGGGGACAGCTAGGTGGCGCAGTGGATAGAGCGCCCGGCCCTGAAGTCAGGAGGACCTGAGTTCAAATCTGGCCTCAGACCAAACACTTAACACTTACTAGCTGTGTGACCCTGTGAAAGTCACTTAAACCCAATTGCCCTAAAAAAAAAAAGTAGTAGTAGTATGTGGGTTAGAAGCACATACTGCTTAGTGACCCCTGGTTGAGGGATCGAAACTATTCTTCTAAGGTTCTACCCTCCTCTCTCCCCTTCCTAGAGAACAGCTAAGAAGCAACCTATTTCTTCAAAACTGGCCTGGAAAGAAGTACCCTAACCCCTACTCACCCAACTATATGATCATTATGTCAGGGCAAAATAGTGAAACCCATGATAGGCATAGACTAAAAGGAAAGGCCTCTGCTAAAAAATCTCCTTCCTTCTCTTCTACCCATCAAAGCACAACAGAGATTTTTTTTTTTTGGTGAGGCAATTGGGGTTAAGTGACTTGCCCAGGGTCACACAGCTAGTAAGTGCCAAGTGTTTGGTCTGAGGTCGGATTTGAACTCAGGTCCTCCTGACTTCAGGGCCGGTGCTCTATCCACTGTACAACCTAGCGGCCCCTCAGAGATTCTTTGGACTAAAAGATCCTTTTTTTTTTTAAAATTAATTACTCCAAGAGAGGAGAGTAATATAATGATCACACCAGTGTAAATTACTTTAAATAGCATGATGAGAATAAAATTCCTGACTCAGGAAAAGAGAAAGGTAGTTCTAGAACAGAGGAAGATTTGAGAAGAAGTAAGGTCACAATTTTGGGTGTGATACCACTGAAATACTCCAAATATAAAGCAGGATAATCAAAGATTTAAAACATGGTTCACATTATACAAAGTTATCCATAGGTAAATCAGCTCAATAATACTCCAGGTACATACATTATCTCCCCTAGGATGTTCCTCAGTCTCTTCCACTTGAAACCTGATACTAGTATTTTCCACTGAGTAGTAGAATCAGTATATTAAAAGTATTACACATCTACAAAAAGAGAGTCAAATTCCTTCTATTATCTCATCTCTCTAGCTGCTGAATAAATTCCTCCACAATGCAACTATTTCACCATGACTGTATGCTACAGTAGGCTGAACAAAAGAAATTGTTTAATTTCATCTCAAAATACAATACACCTCTTTCATAGTCTCTGAATACAACTTACCTCTTTCATTGTGAATGTGTCTTTCTGTGCACCAGCAAACTTTAACAACTTCAAGAGCAATGGTTTTGGTCTAACCTATAAAGTATAAACATCATCTATAACACTTACATATGTAACCACATATAATCAAAATAAGGGAAATTATAAAGCATGGTGCAGTAGTGCTGGACTTGGAGTCATAGGACCGGGGTTCAAAACCTCAGTCTGATACTTTACTTAATTTCCCTGGGCCTCAGCTTCTTCACCAGTAAAATGAAAGAGTAGGACTAGATGACCTCTAAAGTCCTTATCAGTTCTTAATCTATTATCTACCCAAGACTACAGATTACCTACATTTAAGTTTGATCAAGACACCTCATGGACTCTCATGGAAGTCTAAAATAAGTAGGAATAAAAAGAATCACAGTATTCAGAATCATAAGATCTTGGAAAACAACCCTTTTACAGATGATGAAAATTGAGGCCCAGAGAAGCAAAGCATCCCGCTCCTGGTCATGAGATGAGTTGGTAAGAGCTGGAGCTAGAACCTAGCTCTTCTCTCCCAGGCCACAATTTTAGTTTTGCTAAAATGCTTCCTTAGGGCCTGGGCACTTTGCCTTACAGAGAACATAACCTGGGAGCTATAGGACTTGAGCTCAAGTCCCTACTCTACAAGTTACTTGGGCATATCACAACTTCTTCAGGCCCCGAAGGTTGGACTAGATGACCTATAAGGTCCCTTCCAGGTCCTGAGATTTTAGTGTATAAACTATTCAGTAAATGTGTGACTTAAACTCCTGCCACTGTTAAGTCAAAAACTTAGCAAAAATAAATAAATATATATATATATGTGGCCTTGTGGATTTGTTTTAACCCAGTGTAATAATCCTCAAAATATAACTTTCATATTGCTCTTTAAGGTCTGAAGTAACTTTTTCAGGACCCCACTATCTCAAACACTCAGCATACCAATTTCTACTAGACAGCATATCAGAAGGCTGGTACCTTCTCTTTTGTATTTTATCTACCCCCACAGCACCTAACTAGACTCTTGCAAACAGTAGTACTCTACGTTTGTTGAAGAAATACACTTCATAATTCATCAGAAAGTAGTTCTAGTTTAAAAAAGAAGTTGTTCTAGTTTTTACCAACCCACTGGATCATGATTAAACAACAATAGGCGCACTGTTCTAAATATAGAGCATCTGGGTTTTTTCCATTCAAATACTAACAATTACACTGCTTATCTGTGGAGCTATGACGAGATCACAACTTGATGCCAAACTGGCAAAACCTATACTTATGGAAACACCTAGTTCATATTTAAATAATAAACAAAAGTTCATTACTAAAAAATCAAATTTAAAATAAAATATAAAAGCATAATAAATGTAAACAGATATATCAACTTTCATAAAGATATCTATAATACCTTTTTACCAGAACTTAAAAGCAAAATATGTAATAATAATAATAATAGTTAGTGCCTGATCATAAGCCTCTGAAATTTTCTATCAACTTTTTTTATGCCAGTCAGTAAGCCAGGAAGCATTTAGTGTCTACTATGTGCCAGGCACTGCACCATAGGTTCAAGGACTGTCTCCTCAGGTAAGGAAGAAAAACGACTTCTCTTGTTTAAAATGTAAAAGGTAAACTTAGAAAGAAAAATTGCTCCCAAAGGCCCTTAGTTTCACTTCATAGATTACATAAAATTAAAATAAACTACATCTTGACCAATAATATTGGTCATCTAAGTATGTAACCACATATAATAATCACCTTAATCTGAAAATTTCAAGACTTCTCAAGACAGCTAAAAGTAGTGTAGAAAAAGAAAGAAAAAGGCTTGAGGCACAATCTAAAGCATAATTTGCAGTAACAAAGTGAGGTTCCCTGCCCTAAATATAGCAAAGGAACTAAACAGTCGAATTAAATTTTTATTTTTACTGCAAAGAGTTATATTTGAAGTGGACAATTTGATCAAGGTCTACCTGATTTAATACATTTAAAAGAGGAAAACCACATTATAACGGGGTTTTAACCCCCATGCACAAAAGGACGGAGGGATGCAGAATACTTTTGGTAAAAATACTAACCAGGGCCTCTTGTTCCGAAGCTGGAATTTGTGAGGTGCTTAAGGCACCATCTGTATCAGAAGACATTTTGGTATTGCACATTTGCCTATAATCAGGAAAAGAGAAACACAAATGACACAAGTGTGAGAAAACCTAAAGCATTTAACGAAAGGCACAAAATAAGACGGCGACCAGGGTCACAAAATTAACAGAAGGGTAAAACAATCCACGAAAACGGATCAGAAAAGAAAATGTTGGTATCCCCACGGCTTCCTGGTAGGTGAAAGCCCCTTACCTGGATATGGAGGGGAAGAGCTCTCTCACACCTGACAGAGGGGCACCGCTCCTAGAAAACACAAAAGCCGGCAGGTGACTGCGTTACTGGGCTCGGGTTTAAATACCCGCAGCGAGGAGACAAGTCGGGACTTAGCTCCCCAAGACAGCCGCCTCCTGACGTGTCTGAACATGACCAACCAAAAGAGGAAAAGCTGAGTCAACCGGCGGGTTGGGCCGGCCCCGCGGCCCGGAGCTCTTGTTTGGACTTGCAGGAGAACCGGCACCTGTTCGCGCTGTCCCCCCGCCAGGCGGGAGAGCCCGCCCACGCGCCGGCCCCTACTTCCGGTTACCTTTGCCCCGGATGCGGAGACCCCCTCCTCAACGCCGTCCCGTCCTTCTTTTCCCTTCCCGCCAGTGGCTGTAGGCCCGCCCCTTCGCCACCTCCCCCAAGCCCCCGATGGGACGCCGCAGAGCCCCAGAAAACAGGGGCCGCGGAAGGGGTCCCCCCTCGACCCCAAGGCCAGGCGAGGCGCAGGGCCTACTCGAACCGCCGGCCCCTGCCTCACCTCCGGCTCCAGAGATGAGGGGAGCTTCTGGCCGTGCTGGCGACGGCCCGCGCCCCCGGCGGAAGGCCCTACTGCCCCCGGAGGGTGGTTTCTGGCTCCATGCCCCGCTTCGGCCGACCCTTGGAGGGCTTTGGGGGGAGGGGAGAAGGCCCTCGGCGGCGTCCGCGCGCCGAGGGAAGCCCCGAGCGGGCCCGCGCCAGACGCCGCACGGGTCTTCGCGCGCGCAGCCGGGCCTCGGGGACGAGCGCGCCCTTCCCCCTCCAACGGCCCGCGCCGGAAGCCCCGCGCGCCCCTCCCCCAACGCCTAGCTGGAGCCAGAGCGGGCCCGCGCCGGAAGCCGCACGGATCTCCGCGCGCACCCTTCTCCCCCCGCCCCAACCGCGGCTCTCTTCTCGGAAGCCGCGGCTGGAAGGCAATGGAACACCATAAGCATAATTATTCTTTCCGCTGTTTATATATTTTTATTTACACCACCTCCCCTTGTAAATAGGGCTAGAGAACAACGAACTTCTCAGTCTTGTTAAGGATCTTTAAAAAAAAAATGACCCTCAGTAAGAACGATTAAAAAAGCAAAGATGGAGAGCAAGCTCAAATTCAGAGAAGTGTCCACAGTTTCCTGATAGAAAGAGTTTTGTTTAGTCATAAAGTGAGAATAAGTAGCCAGCAAATTAGTCAGCTTTTTACCTCTTGATGCTGTCTTAGTGTCAGCAAGACGGGTGCAAATGCAGCTTCTCGGTAATATCATTTATGTGGCCTTTATAAGGTTTGCAAAGCGTTTTACAACTCGAGGTTGCTGTCTGAGGCTATAAATTAACACGAGCTGCTAATCTGCAGAGTTGGAGGGAGTTTCAACCCTGGGAGTTACCTGCCGACCTGCAGCAGCTCATCCTTTATACGTTCTTAAAAGCTTTATACCCCTTTTTTTTTTGAAATTTCATTAAAATTGTATTGATGTTTTCTGTTTACATGACCCTAGTATCCCATGTATGGTTCTCTCCCCCACCCCTTTACCGCTTCCCCAGAGCCATCCCAAAAAACACAGTGGTTTGTTTGGTTTTGAGAGAGAGAGAGACAGTGACACAGACACAGAGAGAGAGAGAGAAAGAAATCTGCATAATTAGTCAATAGATTGAGAAAGCCCCAAAACGTGTAGTGTGTAACATCTGTGGACTTCCCATTGCCATCAAGTTGTAGGTTGGGGGCATCTTTTTCATAACTTCATTTGGGTTCCATTTGATCTTTATAATTTGTTATGTTTATTTTTGATTCTTTGGTAGGTCATTGTTCTTTCTACCCATGTCTTTTGGAAATCAACTTCCTCATTCTTGAATTTTCTAAACTCACATAGGTTATTGAGCATATTCTGTCTTTCATCTGTGGACTATCAATATGTCTTATGCTGATCTCCCCCTAGTAAGAGCTCATTGCCTGAGTGTTACAAAATAAGGCAAATTTCTCCCTGCTCCCAAAATGAAGTGCATCACAACATAGGAACAATAAAATCATATATGGGGTTTGGGGAATGGGATTTCCATCTGGAGGAAGTATCAGGAAGTGTCATAAAGCAAGTGGTATCCTCACTGTCATCATTATCATGCTCTGTGGTTTCTTCAACCTCATCTGATACTGGGTCAATAGTTAGAATATTTTCATTCTTGGAGTAGAGGCCAATGGAAAATAGAGGCCAGAGAGGCTCTAAAAAGGAGCTGGTGAACGTATAGATGTGGCATCTACTGTCTGCATCATAAAATACTATGTCTCCTGCCTCATAATCCAAAAAGATCCCTACTTTGTTGAGTTTTCCTTTTAAGGAAATTCTGGTCCTAGGTGTGGTACAGACTATGTAGTTATTTTGTCTTAGACTCAAAAGCCAGTATCCATTAGAAGAAGATGGTGAAACCTCTCCAATTCTTTTGACAAGAGTTCTTACAAAGACCAACATCCCAAGCAGAACTGTTTCCCACTGTCACCTCCCAATAATGTCTTCCAGACTCGAAGCTCTGAGCCTATAGAACCGGACCACATAGATCAGATGTCTCCATAATACAATGCAATTCCTTCCATGAATCTCTTTCTGTCATTGTTTTCATATCTGTGGATATGATGATTCCAGGATGGGCAGTTTCAGGATCCAGACTGATGTCCTCATGGAATTTTGTCTTGATTATTTTTTTCTGATTCAGGCTCCTACTCAAGTGAGGCTGGAGCAGTCTGAAGGACTGTATTACAGCTGACAGTTGTTGATTGGGCCAGAGATTCTTGATAAAACAAACTTTCCAGCATACAGGACGTTTAAAACTGCTTCCATTAGCTGAATAAATGTAGTGGAGGATACAGTCTTCACAGAAATGGTGACCACATTCTATAGACATGGCACTTATGAAGAAATCTAGGCAGATAGAGCATATCATCTCTTCTGAAATACTTGAAGTAAGATATGAGGCCATGATCCTTACTGATGCCTCTGATTTGGGTCTTTCCCTGTTCTTGGAGCTCCTCTGTTTCGTATACCCCTCTTTTAACCATAGGCTTTTTTCCTGTGCTGGCTGATTATTTAATGTATGGATTGTACAGTCCTTTCCATTTCTCTTGGTGCTTCTTAGGGGAGGCTGGATTTTTGTCATTTCATTGTTCATAATATCTGTCCAGAGGAGGGAGATACAAAGCTATGAAATTAAAAAAAAAAGCTGATGCCAATACAATACTTCAAAAGGTAATGGGTATTCTTTCAGTACAAAAATCAAAACTCTTCCAGGCCTCTACAGAAGGTTTAATGAATTTCTGGGGCTTCCAGTGGGGGCATAGCCTCTGGTGATACAAATACCGGGCATGAAACAATCTCTACTCGAAAGCAGCTTACATATTAATGGAGAAAATAAGTACATATATAAGCATGCACCGAATAAATGAAGTGAATAAATTCAAAGAAATAGAAAGCAGGTAAATACTGGGTGATTTGGGAAGAAGGGTATAACTAGCTGAAGCAGGAGCACCGTCAGCTTCTCTAGGTTTTGGTCATTGTCCAGCGCCACTCTAGAGTTACATTGTCCAGTCCTGATCTGTGTGACAACCTCATTTACAATAATCCTGTTTGTCTAAGAGAAAGGTGCAACTTATTTTGCAGTTTATTGCCAGGTTAGTTAGGTATTAGAACTCTATCACTTCTCCTCTTGGGCTGCTAAAAAAGCCAGTCACGTTTCTGTTGATGCATACTTAGCTGGTCCGTCAGCTGCCTATTCCCCAGCATTCCACAGCTATGCTATGTATGTTAGGCAACAATGCTTAAAGTTGCACTTTAAAATGTCAGTACTTTTCTGAGATGAACTTCTCCTTATTTCTTGCACAATCTCTAGAAACATTCTTTTGCTTCAAAACAAACCTCAAGTTTTCTTATAATACTCATTAACTCAGCTCCTCAAACACATCCCAAATGGACACTTTGATCACAGTCCAAGGACATCTTTACATCTGGCTTAATTTGTGATAACTGGACTAATCTTTACAGAATGGTAGAAAACAAAGTTTATGGGGGGGGGAGCAAAATGTTTTCCAATACATTTTCCAATAGTCATCGAAGATAAAAATTCCGAAGATAACCCAAATTCCATTATATCCTTTGAAATAATGAGATGTGAATAATTAGTTTTAAAGGAAAAATACCAGCAGTTATGGAATTAGAGTAAATTTGTAAAGTCTTCACACTTCTTATTTGGTAGGAGCTCTATTATAATCAAGATATTTTGTAAGAGTACTTAAACTGGAAGAACTAAGAGCATAGTCCACAAACAATATGGATCACATAAATTCTACAGCCTTTTTAGTTTACTCAGAAATTTTTAAATTTTTTGAAGAATATCTTCATTTGTCTGTGATCTTATCAATGTGAGTATTCCCTGCAGTGGTGCAGATCTCAACCCATCCATGGCCTTCGTACTCTGCAACTTTTGTCCACTGAGCTTTCCTTTAGATTTCCAGGTATTACATGAATTCCAGTTAAGTACGTGGGCTTTCCATTAGACATTGCTAATTCTCATCAAGAACTTCTTTTATGGTCATACATTTTTAGGATGTAATCTTTTACATCCTTTTTCCTATAAGTTTGTCATTAGTAATATATAATGTTGCCTACTCACACCCACTATCTGCCTCCCTTCAACTTCATTTCTTTAGAGACTGGCATTTAATGACTTGCAGCTATGTAGAATCCCTGAAAGAATATTGCTGCTGAAAAGATAAGCCTTTGTTTCAAGAAGAAATTTGAAGTCATTAAAAGAATGGTGAAGTTTCCTAAAGACAATCAATTCTGCTCCCCTCCTCTTGTTCAGCTTTGGGCCTACCTCATTATTCATTTGCAATGTCTGTCCAAATTATTTGTACTGATGAGCAGCTCTGTGGGTCGTCCACCTCACTGAATGTCATAGTCAGCACAATCAGCATTTTTTACTCACTTGCTTTTTCCTGTGTAGATAGATAAGCTGAAATATTTTTGAGTGATTATGGAGGATAAAGCTAAAATTAGCATGAAACTGTATTAACATACAAT